TCAAGCTGTAGGAACTGAAGAAAAAAATCAAGCCTTGACTTTCGTTATTAAAGGACTCTCTGGGCAAATTGTTGAATGATGCAGAAAGCATCAAGAGAAGATGGGAGGAATACACAGAGTCATCGTACCAAAATGAAATGATTGATGTTCAATCTTTTAAAGAGGGAGCATATGATCAAGAGCCAATGATACTGAAGGAAGAAGTCCAAGGTGCATTGAAGGAATTGGCAAAGAACAAGGCACCAGGAATTGATGGAATACAAATTGAAATCTTTCAAGAAAGTGAGGCGGCACAGGAGGCACTCACTCATCTCTGCCAAGAAATTTCCAAGAAAACTATCTGGCCGACTAATTGGAAGAGATCCATATTTGTGCCCATTCCAAAGAGAGGTGACTCAATGGAATGTGGAAATCATCGGACAATCTCTTTGATATCCCATGTGAGTAAAATTTTACAAAAGGTAATACAGAAACGGCTAAAGCATACATTGATAAAGAACTTCCAGAAGTTCAAACTGGATTCTGAAGAGGACATGGAACAAGGGATATCATTGCTGATGTCCTATGGATCTTGGCTGAAAGCAGAGAATATCAAAAGATGTTCACCTGTGCTTTATTGACTATGCAAATACTTTTGATTGTGTGAATCATGACAAGCTGTGCACACCATTGCGAAGTATTCTGGAACACTTACTTTTGCTCATGAGGAATCTGTACATGGACCAAGAGCAGTTGTTCCAACAGAACATGGAAAGATTGAATGGTTAAAAATTTAAAAAGGCATGTGACAGGGTTGTATTCTTTCACCATACTTATTCAACCTGTATGCTGAGCAAATAATACGAGAAGCTGGGTTCTATGAAGAAAAATGTGGCATCAGGATTGGATGAAGACTCATTAACAACCTGCTATATGCAGATGATACAACTTCACTTGCTGAAAGTGAAGAAGACTTAAAATACTTACTGATGAAGCTCAAAGACCACAGCCTTTAGTATGCATTGCATCTCAATGTAAAGAAAACAAAAATCCTCACCTCTGGACCAATAAACAACATTCTTAACAATTGAGAAAAGATTGAAGTTGTCAAGGACTTCATTCTTCTTGGATCAACTATCAACACTCATGGAAGCAGCAGTCAAGAAATCAAACAATGTGTTGCATTAGCCAAATCTGTGCACAAGACCTTTTTAAAGTGTTGAAGAGCAAAGATGTCAGCTTAAGTACTAAAGTGCGCCTGACCCAAGCCATGGTAGTTTTAATAACCTCATATGCATGTGAATGCTGGACAGTGAATAAGGAAGACTGTAGAAGAATTGATGCTTTTGAGTTATGGTGTTGGAGAGAATATTGAAAATGCCACGGGCTGCTAAATGAACGAACAGATCTTTGTTGGAATAAATGCAGCCAGAGTGCTCCTTGGAGGCCAGGATGGCCAAACTTCGTCTCTCATATTTCAGACATATTGTCAAGAGGAACCAGTCACTGGAGAAGGATATCATGTTCGGTAAGGTGCAGTGTCAGAGAAAAAAGGAAGACCCCCAGTGAGATGGATTGGCAAAGTGGCAGCATCAGTAGGCTCCAGCATAGCAACAATTGTGAGGTTGGCCCAGGACCAGGCAGTGTTTCATTGTTTTGTACATAGGGTTGCTATGAGTCAGTACCGACTCAATGGCACCCAACACCAACAAGTGTAAGGATATAGCACAATACCTGACATGTAGTAGACACAGGATGAATGATGCTATTGCTAGTTGTCTTGGAGTCACTTTTGACTCGTGGCAACCTCATGTGCAACAGAACGCATTATATCAGACTGAGTTCTCTTGTGAGCTACAGGGTTTTCATCAGCTAATTTTTGGAAGTATATTCCCAGGTCTTTCTTCCCGGTCAGTTTTAGTCTGTAGTCTCTGATGAAACCTGTCCACTATGGAGGACCCTGCTGGTATTTGAAATACCAGTGGCATAGCTTCCAGAATGAAAGCAATATACATACCACCCCAGTATGACAAATTGACAAACAAATGGTTGATAAATGATAGCTAAACTTGAATCTCCAGAGGGCCCACTTGATTTCATGCTGATCTATGATTACCAAGTGTTGCCTTGGATTTCAATTTCCCTAGGGAAATCAGTAAAGGCTTCTGAATACTCTACAGGTCTATCACCACTGCAGCCAAGCAAACTAAAAACATAAATCTCATAGACGATAGACAAATGGCATCTTTTTCAAGCATAGGCTATTCATTTGGTTACCGCAGCCTAGAGTTTAAGAGGGCACAAGTTGAAGAAACTACAGTGTCCTCTACTGAGCAGAAGAGGACACCATATGAAGTTCCCTTTGCTAAATTCTCTCTTCTCCTAACTTGTATTCTCCATGTATTTCTAATGCGTTTATTTTCTTGTGCACTTCCTGGATTGTCTCCTTTACTCCCAAATACCTATGTAAAAGTGGTTAACAAGTGCCTTTCTCTAACAGGAAATGATTCAATAGCACTTAACAATAATAACAACATCTCTAATACCAGTCTTTCTCCTAAATCTACATGTGCACAGGCATGTCTCCCTGTATGTACGTGTGTGTATGTCTATATATGTACATATATATGTTGTTAATGTCCTTGAGTTGATTCATGCATATGTGTGTGTGTGTGTGTGTCTAGATCCTATTGCATACCAAACAATTCTCTCAGGCTTTTCTGGAGATAACTCACATTGAATTATATAACAGTGAATAGTAACTTTGTAGCCATAATACTGAATAATAAGCAATGTAAGTTTTAGCCCATTACTGAAGTTATGGACATGTAGTTAAGTGCTGTCAAGTCAGTTCCAACTCATAGAGACCCTGTATAGGGTTTCTGAGGAGCAGCTGGTGAGTTTTGAATTGCTGACCTTGCAGTTAGCAGTCCAGTGCTTATCCTTCAACATCACACCTTGACTCAATATATATAAATAAAATGTCAATTTATGCAAGTATTTCAAGTCTTATAGCTCACTCATTCTCAGGTTCTTTCAGGTTTTCAAATTCTAATCCAGCCTGCATGTATTGTGTCTGTCTGCCTCAGTCCTCACACAAGGTCTCCCCCAGGCAAACTGGCTTTCTACCTCCTCATATTTCTTTTATTGTGGCCCATAGGGTCCAAGATCTGCCTAAAGCAAGCTCACTGAATAGTTCCCAAATCACCATGAGAACTGAGGTACAGGAAGAAATAAGTCATTTTAATTAAATTCATACTTTAAACATAGAGTCATTTAAACTACTGAGTCATTTCCAAGGATGATACATCAATCATGTAATTTACAACTCCAGATTAGGCACTCCAGGTAAAATTGTCTCTTAAAGTAAAACAAAACAAAACAAAACAAAACAAAATGACTACACAAAATGAAGGAAAGTTGTCCCCTCACAGGAATCAGAAGAATTATATACAAAATTATCCGTATTATTTTAAAATCCTATTTTATTGTTGTTAAGAATACACACAGCAAAACACACCAATCTCCCAGTTTCCACATGTATAATTCAATGACATTGATGGCATTCTTCTAGCTGTACAACCATTCTCACCCTTCCTTCTCTGAGTTGCTCCTCCCTCTTTAACATAAACTCACTGCCCCCTCTGATAAAGATTAGGTTCCTATCTAATCTTTTGAGTTGCTGTTATTAATTTGACCCCAAATATATAGTTCTTAAAAGAGCACAATGCTGAAGGCAGACAATTTTATTCATTAAGCTGGATAATACACTGGACTGCAAGGTCAATTTGAACTGCAAAGTCAGTGGTTCAAACCCACCAGCTGCTCCTTGGAAACCCTATATAGGAAGGCTAAGAGTCAGAACCAATGCATCGGCACTTAACACCAACATTGTTTGGTTTTAAGATGATTTAAGAGAATATTTCTGGTTTAAAGTATACAGATTATCACAGGACAATAGGAAGACTTCATAGGAAGTCTGGAGTCCATGATAATCTCTGTTCTATATTTCCTCCTTTTGATCAGAATTCCTTTGTATGATCTTTGTTCAAAATGTTGAGCATATTCTTAACTCTTTTTCAGAAAGTATATAAATCAAAAAAGAACCAAATAAAATCTAAAGAGAAGTAATTTTGATTAAGAACATTAATGAGATAGTATTAAATTATACCCCAAAGTCTAAAAGATTGTTGTTGTTGTTGTCAGATGCCATCGAGTTGGAACGGACTCATAGCGACCCCATGCACAGCAGAACAAAACAATGTTCGATCCTGGGCCAACCTCACTATTGCTGCCACACTTGAGTCCATCAATGATGCCACCTGGCTGATCCATCTCGTTGGGGGTCTTCCTCTTTTTCTCTGACCCTCCACCCTACCCAGCATGACATCCGTCTCCAGCAATTGTTTCCTCCGGACAATATGTCCAAAGTAGGAGAGACAAAGCTTAGCCATCATGGCCTCCAAGGAGCACTCTGGCTGTACTTCTTCCAAAACAGATCTATTGGTTCTTTTGGCAGTCCATGGCACTTTCAGTATTCTCCTCCAACACCACAACTCAAAGGCATCAATTCTTCTACGATCCTCCTTATTCACTGTCCAGCTTTCGCATCCATATGAGGCTATTGAAAACACAATGGCCTGGGTCAGGCGCACCCTAGTCCTCAAGCTGACATCTCTGCTCTTCAAGTCTAAAAGATAAGGTGATACAAGTGTCTAATGAGACTGCTCATTGTAACTATATGAAAGAGCATTCCTACACCAGAATTCAATGGCAAAATCTACTCCAGAATTATACTCTATATTTCCTATGACACCCTTCAAGTCCAGACATATGGCTGTTTCTAGCCAGGCCCTGACAAATGAAACTTTGTAATGTGATGTGACATGTAGCCAGTCTTATCAAAGAGGTCTGGGGTACGGAAGACTTACAAATACACCTTTGAGGCAGTTTTCCATAGATTTTAGGAGTGTAACCTTCAAGGGCAAAGAAATGACTTTCACTCAGACAGGCAGGATTACCTTTATTTTTCCTGTTGGTTTACTGCCAGCAGGTACTGTGGATGGCATATTCTTCCCATGTAAAATCTGAGACATCTCATAAAAGGCTTCAGAAAATAATTCTAAGTCTATGAGTACTTCTACCTTTAAGGGAAAGAAAAACTTAATGAGATCCTACATTAAACAATTGGTTTCACTTACAAAATAAACAGTTCAGAGAAAAATAATCAACTCTTGAGATCCAAACTTTCTGTTTAAAGTTGCCAATGCATTATGAATTGATGTTTACTAGATATGGATGGATGGAGATACATGTTTCTGTGTGTAAGCCAGCTTATATGGACCAAGAAATTAATAAACAGCAGGCAACTATTGCATTCTAACAGGCAACATTTATCCAAGTTGCTTACTTCATCAGAGGCACACACATCAATATTTCATAGGTCTAAAAATGGTTCAGAATTGAAATTGTTTTGTTGTTGGTGTTGTTATTGCTCTCATGGCTAACCACAGAGTGAAAACAAAAATACCAACAGCAACAAAGAAAGCACCATAGGTGATGTCCTCTGGTTCTCTGACAGCCTAGAGTTAAACCAACCAGGAGACTATCTCCACAATGTATCAACATAGAGAAACTATTATTTTTCTTATTCATAAGTAACAGACCCTGTAAATTTTACATACACTTAATGACATTAATCAAGTGATAACTATACATTGTACATGGCTTGCTTTGAATACAATGCAGCAGGAATTTTCATGAAAACATCAGAGGGTGAAAAGAAAATTTCCTGTTCAAAAACATTCACTTATTAAACATGTTTACTATAGTTGTTAGCTTCTTACACAAAGACCCTTTGTGGTGGTGGTGGTAGTGGTTATGTGCCGTGGAGTCAGCTCTGACTCATAGCGACCCTATATAGGATTTCTGAGGCTGTAAATCTTTATAGGAGCAGAAACCCTCATCTTTCTCTGGTGGAACAGCTGGTAATTTTGAACTGTTGACCTTGAGGTTACAGCCCAACTCGTAACCACTATGCTACCATAGCTCCTAAGACCCTACGTATAAAAGCAAAAACAACAACACAGCCCTGTTTTAAGCCATCCTCATAACTGTTGCTATGTTTGAGCCCATTTTTCCAGTTTCTTTGTCAATCTAACTCATTGAAGGTCATCCTCTTTTTCACTGACCCTCCACTTTACCAAGAATTATGTCTCTTTCCAATGACTGGTCTTTCCTGATAACATGACCAAACCACATGGTCTCTCTACCCCCACTTCTAGTGAACATTCCAGCTATAGCTCTACCAGGACAGGTTTGTTTCTCTTCTGGTAGTCCATGCTATACTCAATTTTCTTTGTCAACACATCAAGGCATCTATTCCTCTTGTCTCATTATTCATTGTTCAACTTTCACATGCATATGTTGTTGTGGTTAAGTGCCATTAAATTAATTCTGACTCACAGCAACTCTGTATAGGATTTCCAAGGGATATGGCTGGTGGGTCTGAATCACCGGCCTTGTGATGAACAGTGTCATCCTTATTCTATAGTGCTACATGCATATGAGATGATCAAAAATACCATGGCTTGGGACATGTGCACCAGAGTCCTCAAAGTGACATCTGTTTATTTGTTTGTTTTTAACATGTTAAAGAGGTCTTTGGCAGCAAATTTTTCCAATAAAATATGTATTTTTTTTCTTAACTGCTGCTTCCATGGGTGTTGATTGAGGATCCAATTAAAATGAAAAATCCTTGATAACTTCAATCTCATCTCCATTTGTCATGTTACTTATTGGTCCAGTAGTGAGGGTTGTTGTTTACCTTGTGTTAAGGTGTAATCCATACTGAAGGCTGTACCTTTGATCTTTATCAGAAAGTGCCTCAAGGCCTCTTCACTTTTAGTAAGCAGGGTTATGTCATATAATCTGTATATCACAATTTATTAATGAGTCTTCCTCTAATCCTGATGTTATGTTCTTCTTAATACAGTCTAGCTTCTCATTATTTGCTCAGCATACAGACTGAACAAGTAAGGTAAAATAAGACAATCCTGATGCTCATCTTTCCTGATTTTAAACCATGTTCTCTCTGAATGACTGTACAGGTTCCACATGAACACAATCTAATATTTGGGAATTCCTGTTATTTGAAATATTATCCTAATTTTTATGACTCACACAGCCAAAGGTCTTTGCATAGACAATAAAACACAAGTAAACATCTTTCTGGTCTTCTCTGCTTTCAGCTAAGATCCATCTAACATCAACAGTGATATCTCTTGTTCCACAACCATTTCTGAATCTAGCTTGAATTTCTAGCAGTTTCATGTCTATGTACGACTACAACTGTTTTTAAATTATCTTCAGCAAAATTTTACTTGAGTGTGATATTAATGACAATGTTAGACAATTTCCTCATTCTGTTGGTTCATCTTTCTTTAAAATAGGCAAGGACGTGGATACTTACAGTTTGTTTGACTTGGCATATTACAAATTTCTAGGCACAGACAAGTGAGCACTTCCAGCACTGCATTGTTTGTTGAAAAGTTTCTGTTGGTATTCTATCTATTCCTGGAACTTTGTTTTTCATCAGTACCTGCAGTGCAGCTAGGACTTCTTCCTTCAATTTCATTCTTGGTCATATGCTACCTCCTGAAGTGTTTGAATGTCCATCATTTCTCTTTGATACAGTGACTGTGTATTCTTTCCATCTTCTCTTCATACTTTGAGTCGTTCAATTTTCTTTTAAGTGTTTTATTGTGGATTATATAATACTTTACATGGGAGAACATTAGTTTTACATTCATTCTATCGTACATCATATCATTGCCATGGTTACAATCCCCTCCATGCATCATCAACTGACCAAAGGGTATACACTACAAGCCTGCTCCCTACATTCCACACCACCACCACCACCACCCAGTCTTCAGCACACAGTTGCTCTCCCTCTCTGGATCTAAAGTCCCCAGCTGCTTCATCGTTCCACATCATCGTCTCTGCCTCCATCTCAGGCATCACTGATTCTCTGGGTAGATTCCCACTCTCCACTCTTCTCCCTTGATGGTCCTAGGGAACTCTGCTCCTAGACTGGAAAGTTAATC